TGTAATAATTGTTCAGTGTTGTTGTGTTTAGAATTTCTTTACAAGTTTTTTTTGTTTTCATTCATAAAATTTGTAACAAACAACTTAAATTTTTCGTATATTTTTAGATTCTGCACGTGTATCGATGCCCGCGGCATGTTGGAATCGGGGATCGCAGGTAATGTCCATGATATTTTAAATAAACATTTTAATTCAATTTCATATTTTTTTAGATAACTCCGCTTCAATTTTCTTCATGTGAGTTATTTTCTCTATATGGTGTGTAGCGGTGGTAGTTAGTTTACGAACAGACTTTATTTTTTTCTTCTTCTAGATAATATGTAGCACAGAAATTTATTGTATAAATTTGTGTCATTACAACTATTAAACGAATAACAAAGCATTAGTGGAAACAAACAAGACGAGCAATGACTGAGAGGGTTATGGTTACAAGGACTCCTTGTAGAAGTACTGACAGTCTAGCCACATTTCAAGTAGAACTACCCAAAATGGCAAAATTGGCAGACAACATTATTGGAATGATCCGTATATATTTAACAATGCAAGGAACTTATATCAACGCAGCTGACATCCCTACAGCAGCGTGATTCAACGTGATGCGCAAATGGAACAGCTTTAACGAGAAGTGACCAGATTCACGAAAATGGTCTCGAAATGATCGACCAAACACCGCTCAAGAACAAATCAACGTTCACGTTCAACTTCAAGAAACCAGCAATATCATAATGATAGCGAAGAAAATAGCAATACAAATTGTTGGTATCATAAAACATATGGTTGAAGTGCAAAAGATTGAAAGCAGCCATGTGCATATAGCCATAAAAACTAAAACCGGCTTCGTCTACGGCGGCAGAAAAAGTTGTAAACGAAACATCTATACGAATGTTCATCTACGATAATAAGACAAAAAAATCATTCCTAACTGACACGGCTGCAGATGTTTCACTTATTGCCGCCAAACAAAAAAATTGAAATACAAACAATAATAACGATAGCATATTCTACGCAGCAAATGGTTCTATGTTACGATCAAAACATTTAGTGAAATAGAGCAAACTCTAGCTTTAGGCTTACAAAGAAATTTCACATGGCCATTTATTATCGCAGATGTAACTACTTCAATCATCGGCGCCGATCTTTTAAATTATTTCGGATTAATAGTCGACATTAAAATGAAACGATTGAAAGACACATCGACAAACATTTTTTCAGCCACAAGCGAAAGTAAAATAACCGCACAAAAAATATCAACCGTGAACACATCTTCCAAAATTGCAGATCTACTAAAAAAATACATCGACATTGCCAAACTAATACCGGCAAATCGCCAGGTGACCAAAGTCACAAATCACATATTAACAAAAGGAGATTTCTTCCAGACAAGCTAGTAGCAGTGAAAGAAGAATTCCAAAAATTCGTTACAGCAGGAATATGCCGTCCATCAAGTAGCAATTGCGCTAGCCCTTTACATATGGTAAAAAAAACAGACGGAAGTTGGAGACCTTGTGGAGATTACCGTCACTTAAATGCAATCACCATCCCAGATCGTTACCCAGTTTCTCATATACATGATTTTACACACATGTTATATAACCTAAAAGTTTGTTCAACCATCGACCTGATTAAGGCATATCACCAGATACCAGTTGAACCGGTTTTTTTGTTTTTTTTTTGTTTTGTGTATTAACGATTCTTAATATAAAGGCAAAAATAGTTTTAATATTGCATCTAGTACAAATAACAAATAAGAGGTACTAATAAGCAATTTAATTTGAATATTTAAGGTAAAAACGAAGCTATTTTGCTACTCTCTGTCCATTAAGTCTGCCACTATTTTCCTTTTTAGCCGACTAGGTGGTAGAACCACCTGGAGAAAACTGGATGCTGTAACATTGACATATGTTTTCAAACGCTGTTTGTGAGCAATGGCACGGTTAATATTCTAAAAATGGCGATCATAACTCTGTTTGGATTATTTGAATTTACCAACATGACATTCGGACCTTGCAAGGCAGGTCAAACATTTCAACGCTACATTCACGAAGTATTACGAGATCTCGAATTCGCATTTGCCTATATTGATGACGTCATTACTACATCAGAAAATGAAGAAGAGCCCAGGCAACACTTGCAACAAGTATTTGAACGATTCAGAAAACATGGTTTAGTAATAAACGTATCACAATGCGTTTTTGCTCAAAACAGTGTAGAATTTATTGGTCGTCTCATCAGTGAAAAGGGCATTCAACAAAAACAAAAGAATTATGAAGATTTCTACCATAACTTAACTTTTATCGCAGGTTCGTACCAAATGCAGCAAACTCTCAAACAGCACTTCAACAAATGATAAAAGGAAACAAGAAAAACGACAACACACTGTTATCCTGGCCCGAATCGAATAAAACAACTTTCCAAAAATGTAAAGATGAACTAACAAACTCGACACTACTTGTTCATCCATCAAAAAAACTACTACGCTTGCATTACAAGTAGACGCCAAAGCACTCGGCGCAGTTCTTCATCAAGTAATAGACAGCATGTTTCAACCACTCGGTTTTTTCTCTAAACGATTAACAGACACACAAAAATGGTACAGCACATACGATCGTGAGTTGTTAGCTGTATACCAGGGCATAAAACATTTTCGACATATGTTAGAAGGTCGTTAATTCGTGTTAATAACTGACCACAAGCCACTTACTTTCGCATTTCAGCAAAAGTCCGACAAGGCTTCACCTCGTCAAGTCCGTCAGCTTGGTTATATAGGTCAATTTACTACTAATATCGTTCATGTCAGCGGAAAAGACAACATTCCAGGAATTTCCTCTCGCGGATAGATAATATCAGCATCCCACAAATCGATTACGATTGTATAATTGGATATTGGATTACAACGATGTTGTCCACAACTGCAAGATATCAAAAACAACAATTCCATCAAACACAAACTTTTGTCCTTACCAACAATATCAAAAAGAATTTATTGTATAGTTTCAACTGGTCGAAATCGTCCTTACATTCCACAGAAATACCGGCTACATATCTTCAAAGCTATTCATGAGTTGTCTCTAAAGTGCAACGTCACAATCGAACATCTATTTGTCAATACGAATTCGCTGAGCACAGATTCGAACACATAAATATAGACATCGTCGACCCGCTACCGTCATTAAACAATTACACATATATATTAACCATCATCTACCGTTTTAGCCGATGGCCAGAAGCAATTCCGATTCCCGATCAAACGACGGAAGCCATCGCAAACGCATTGATTACTCAATGGATCGCACATTTTGGCCTACCCTTACGTATCACAACAGACCAAGAGAGACAATTTTACCAAGAGAGACAATTTGAATCTTCAACTAGTTGAAGTTATCGGCTGCAAACATTTACGAACTACCAGTTACCATCCTGACAGTAAAGCAGCTTTAATGTGCCATCAAACAACTTCTTAGGCAGAAGTGTTACCAATAGTATTGTTCAGAGCTTCTGCAGCTAAAATGCTATATGGTCAAACACTATGCTTACCGGGCGCAATAGTAAGCAACATTAGGAATAAAAATACAAATAAACACGATTTCATTACCAAGCTAAGAGAACAAATGCAGAACGTCAAGTCAACGTTAGTATCGCATCATACATACCGAGGTTACCACATACAACCGGCTCTAAGCTCAGCCACGCATGTATTTATACGAAATGATGAGGTAAAATCACTACTGACGCAAGGCGGAGTATTGTGGCAACACCAAAAACATTATTATAAAACTGTCAAAAAAGAAAAAAAAAAAGAGTTCCAACGGTCGCGTCTCCCGTCATTATTATTGAAGGAAGTATTAGTCAGAATAATTTGTAATATTTAAATAAATTTAAGTCAGTTGTAAATAAAATAACTATTACAACCATAAAATAAAGTAATTTTTGATATTACAACATTGAATTGATACGGTTGTATGGTTTTTGAGCTCTGTGTTTTTTTTTTGTGAAAATTTATCTGTAAATGCATCGAATTATTTTGTAAAGTTGGCACAGATGAACAATATCTTTATACTTAGCGTTTTTGGCAAACTGGTAAACGCTTTAACTGAAAATTGTTTAAATAATTTAAAAAATAAATTCTAAAAACTTATTTTAAATTTGCAAAACACGCGCCGTTAATTTGGTTTTGTTTTTTGTACACACAAAACAGCTGACAGAGATGGCAATTAATTGATTTTTGGTTTTATTAAAGAAAAGCTTATAATCAACTAATAGAGACAGCAAGTAAAGCTTAAATAAGCAAGTACGAACAGTGTTGTAAACTGTTAAATTACTACACAAATATTGGGATTAAACAATTTAATTTAAATTACCTTAATAGCAGTATGTTACAATTTATGTGTGAAGAGTGTGTGCAGTATATTCACAATACTGATTTCGCAATTAGGCAAATACAAAACAGTGTAGAAAAAAATCAATCGTACTTAAAAGTGTACAAAGCTGAATTTAAAGAGGCTCTTAAGATTAATAGAAATGAAATAAAATCCTTGTCCTTGAGGCTAGATATAGTGAAAGAATAAAAAACTTATTAATATTCAAGAAAATTATGAAGAAAAAATTGGCTCCCTTGAAACAAAATTAGCTGATATGACAAAAAGTGCAAAAGAACTTGATGAGAAAATGTGTACAGAACCTATTAACAAGGATCAGTCTAGTTTTGTTACCTATACTGCTAGTTGAAATCAGGATTAAATAAAAATGTGCCAATCACTCTTAAGTCAAAGAATAAACAGCAAAGTGAAGAAACAAAAAAGGAATTAAAGCTAAAAATAAATCCGTCAAATCTAAATGTTAAAATTCATGGTTTTATGAGTGCACAAGACGGAGGAGCAACAATTAAATGCGATACTATTAAAGAAAGAAAAATTTTAGCTAGTGAAATTAAAAAAAAACTCAGTGACAATTATGACATTTCAACACCGGATATGCGTAATTCTAAAATATTGATATCTAGAATGTCTGAAAAATTAGATAACGATAAAATTATAAATGCAATTAAAAATCAGAATGAGATCGTTTTTCGTTCAATTGAAGTGCTAAAGGTATATGAATCATATAAAAACAAAAACATTTTTAATGCTATTGTTGAATTAGATAGTACTGCATTTGCTAAAATAATGAAAGAGCGTACAATTAATGTGGATTGGGATGGATGCATTGCTTATGAGAATTTTAACGTAATGAGGTGTTTTAAATGTTGGGGCTTTAATCATGAAGCAAATGTCTGTAAAGAAAACGGAGTGACATGTGCAAAATGCAGCGAAATTGGACACTCTCATAAAGAATGTGTAAACAGCACTGTAAACAGTGCCCTATCTGGAAGGATGTGCGGCCCTTCTACAATGTTGTTTTTACATGTACCACTTAAATTAAAAATGATAAATTGAAGTATATAAGATGTTTCATTAAAAATAACTGTATTATATTAGGCAACGATATATTCACAACATAACATTTAATAATTCATCAATAAATAATGCCTCTACGAACAGAATAGTATTGAAATTTAACAATTAAAAATAAAAATATAATTATTTAATTAATTGATTTATTCGACAGCTGGTTTATGATTTCGTTCTAATATAAACACAGCAAGTAAAATTGTTAATAAAAAACTTTCATAGTAAAAGTAATAAAACTCCAGAAAAATATGCAAACAAAAAAGTCAAGTACGGCTTTGGATCAGTTGGTTAAGGTGCGCTGATTCTGAGCTTCACATTTGGCAGGACCCGAGTTCGATTCCTGGTACTTGCAGTCTCAAAAATAATTATTTACGAATAATTAAATACAAGAACTATTTCCAAGACCACTGATGATGGGTATTTGGCAATACTCGAAACAGCTGAATGGTCAGTCAAAAATTCAATTAATTAAAATAATATAAAAAAAATAAATTTTTGTGGTAGTTCACTACTGTTCGAAAAACCTCTTTATAATTCATTAACAAAATAACATATTATACAAATTAAATAAATAATTTATATATAAGTTTAATATTATATCAATATGGAATAAATACAACTTTTCACATATATCTTATAACATCAAACCAACTTTTTTCACACAAGAACCATACCACTTACCAAGAAACCAAGAACCACTTAGAACCATACATGTTTATGCAATGATCAAACACAATCGAACACACTTGTAACGTATAAATGTGCGGTCAGCTACTCCTCACACAAAGTGGTTATTATTCGCTGAGCAACAGCTTAAACGGGAAGGACGAAATTTGAAAGAAATGCATGGTGATGTGAGCTGCAAACTTTAGCCGCACATCTAACCGCTTCAGCAAGTCAACATGTTGAATTTTTATACATGTAGTTGATATTCGAATAGAACAGAAAATACAATATACAATTCCCAATCTTTATTTCTCATATTTTAAGCTAGAGCACACGCACATTATTTTGTATTATTCTACTTTTATGCACACTTATGACAGAAATTTATAAATGCAATTGCTAAAAGGGGAAAGACGAAATATAATAGAAATGTCTTGTGATGTGAGCTGCAAACTTATGAGCACAACTATGGACTTTAGTAGCTAAGTGAAGCAAATTAAATGAGTTTTTATAGACATTTACATTTAATTGTTTTTGCTAAAACTTTAATCTTTAAAAATATATTTATGAAAATGTAATAAACAATATTAACTCTTGATTTAAAGATATTTAATAAATTTATGTATATTATTTGACAATTTGCAAATTATGTTAGAGTGTGCGTTGCACACCTCCGCACATTAGAGCAGTCGTCACTGATTGTAAAATGTATAAATTGCGTGAAGATGATAAAAACTTATAATCTCAAGAATATCTCTACGGATCATGATTGCAGGGACATGAACTGTAAAACGTTACAATAAAGACTTAAAGACTCATAAAATCTTAATAAACATTCTTTGTGCTTAAAACAGTGATTTCAATATTGTTTATTTTAATGCTAAAAGCCAAAATGGTCTTAAACTTAATCAAATCAGTGTTTGAAGACTCCAGTGTTGACAATATTTGCTTTCTTAAACATGATTAGATAATGAGATCAGTAGTTAATATTTTTGTATAAAATATTATGTTTTAAATCGCCACGATAGGAAACACAGAAAAGGTGGTGGAATTGCAATTTATTGCAATTTTTATTTAACTAGTCAGTTAATACCTTCTGACCAAAAAAAAGAAGAAAGGTCTATTTTTGAATTCCCACGCCTATCCATTCGGTAAATTTTTTTTCTTTTCACGCTGACAACACTATTACACACATTCTGTCAAAGTTTAATGCATATCATATGATTAGTTTTTGTTTGGCGTCTATACAAAAAGTCGAACAATTTTCGTGTAGCGATTTTTATAATGGATCAAAAATTAGAACGAAAATTAGAAAATTTTGTGTTGCAAATGGATTCAAGTGTGCCGAAACTGTTGAAAAATGTTAAAAAGGCCTTTTGTGATTTGTGTGTGTCGCAACCACGAGTATACGAATGGTTTAAAAGGTTCGTGTTGGAAGATCGTTGTGAACCGATTAGAGAGATTGCAGTATTGATGGTCATCTCATATGGAATGGCCGAACACATTTTAACTGATACTTTGGATTTGAAACACGTGGCTTCATGGCTGGTGGCAAAAAAGCTGAATTTCATTCAAAAAAAGCGTCGTTTTTTCGCAGTTTTTGGACAAAAACTCCACCAATATCATCAACCAAGCACCGTACTTTCCAGATATGGTCCCGTGTGACTTTTTTCTCTTCCACCGACTTAAATTGCCATTGCGAGGAACGTGTTTTGAGACTATAGAGGCCATAAGGTAAAAATCGTTACACGAAAATTTTTCGACTTCAAACAAAAACTATTCGTACGATATGCGTTAAAATTTGAGAGAATGTGTATAATAGTGTTGCCAGCGTAAAAATAAAAAAACTTTGCCGATTGGTTAAGCGCGGGAATTCAAAAATTAAAAATTAAAGTTCTTTTTTGATCACAAGGTATGTACTTCGGATGAATCTGATATTGAATTTATTTGTGTGTCTATCAGAAATCATAGTAATAAAATTTTAGTTTCCTGTGTCTACAATCCATATAACCGATTCTCATGCGATCCATTATTTTACTCGCTTCTTTCAGTTGTACACATATATGATTTTATTGCAGTACTTGGTGATTTTAATTATGACTTTTTAGTGAATTGTAGTAAAGTTCTGAAACTAAAACATTTATTACCCATGATGGGCCTAAGTATCATCAATAAGGCTTAACCAACTAGATACTGTTACAGTGTACCACTGTATATAGTTGCTGTATCGGATCCTAATAAAGTCTTACTGTTCGATCAAATGTCTTTTGTATCTGATCATAATCTACTATTTGCTGCATTGGACTTTAACCCAAGCAGGAAATCTAGTCCTAGTTCTTTTTCTTATAGGGATTTTGAATCAATTGATACTATCAGAATAGTTAATGAATTAAATACTGTTGATTGGAGTGATTGTTGGATTTTTTCAACTTCTGACGATAAGTTAGATAAATTTAATAACATATTTTGTCAATTTTTTATCGAGATGCTCCGCTGCGGACTATTATTATTAAAAGTTCTTCCTGTGCTTGGCTAAACCCTCAGATTAGAAGAAAGATAAATTACAGAAACAAAAAGCATGCAATATGGAAAACCTTCGTCTTATAACTGGATGCGATTTAAATTGGCTAGAAATTTAGCCGCGAAGGCAGTAAGCATTGCAAAATCGGCATTTTATAATTTTAAGCTTGACACTACACAGCCAACCAAGAATATCTGGAGAAATATTAAACATTTGGAATTAAAGCAAGATATTACAACACATTGTGAACTAAATCTAAATGACCTAAATGATTACTTCATTTCGTGTATAAATGTAAATTGTAATAATACCTCTTCGACATTCCCAATTTCTGATATATGTGCTTCTGATGAGAGGTTTAATTTTATAGGTGTTAGTGAAAAAATGGTCTACAAAAATTTCTAAAGCTCACTTTGCCGTACATAATAGCTCCTATTACACATATAATAAATCATTGTATAACTACGTCAACCTTTCCCAAAACGTGGAAAAAAGCTAAAATTATTCCAACTCCGGAGAAGTCTAGTTTGTGATCTTATAATGGCTAATTAAATTAATATTCACCTTGAGCGTTTCCAACTTCTCTCTCACTACAGTCTAGCTAAAGAAAGGGTCATAGTTGCTCAACTGTCATGCTCAAAGTTTTAGAAGATGGTTGAATAGCTATAATAATGACATGATTGCATTTTTATGTCTTTTAGACTTCTCTAAAGCATTTGATCGTGTTAATCTCTCCATACTATGTAAGAAATTAACTGATTATTTTTCATTCTTGTACTCTGCCTTTAAATTTATATGTGGTTATCTAACAGGGAGATCGCAGACTGTTTTCTCTGCTGATAAATATTCGGATTTTAAATCGTTGCCCACTGGTGTTCCTCAGGGGTCATTCCTCAGCCCACTGCTTTTCTTAATATACCTATATAAATGATGTTTTCACCATATGTAAATATTCCAAATTACATGCATATGCAGATGATATTCAAATGTATCTTTCTAGTATAGTTGGTTTTTTAGGTGATAGTGTTTGTAAGCTTACTGATGACTTAAATAGAATTAATACATGGGCAATAGTAGATAACATGCTGCTTAATACAGATAAAACAATTATTCTGCCTATTGCGAGAAAAAAAAATTATAATGGAGAAATTCCATTTAATTTTAATTGGCAGTACTACAATTGATTATAAATTATCAGTAAAATGCTTGCTAGCTTGAATGCCCGTGACCACATAAATCAAGTTTTTCGAAAATCAATTGTATCACTTAGATATATTCAATTATCAGCTAAATATACTCCAATGAATCTTCGTTGCACATTAGTAAAGCAATTAATAATGCCTATAATTTTGTATTATAGTCTGGTCTACAACAAACTTGACTCAGACAACCTATACAAATTAAGAGCTGTAATGAACTGTCTGCGATCACGCGAGACAGCCGAAGCCTTCGCCGCTCAGCTCTCTAGCCGATTAAACAACCAACCCTCCCGTTCCGATAATGCCGGTAGACAGTGGGGACATATCTCTCACTCCCTACGCACAACAGCGGAAGATGTCCTTGGTTTCCAACGTCCCCCACGGCGAAACCAATGGTACGACGAAGAGTGTCGCCAAGCTACTGCTGCGAAGAACGCGGCCTATAAAAGGACCCTGCAGTCAGCAGCAACGCGAACCGTGCATGAACAATATCGGGAGATGAGGAAGGTAGAGCGGTGCCTATTCAGACGGAAGAAACGAGATCAAGAAAGGCGCGAGCGAGAGGAAATCGAGGTGTGTAGAAATAGGAATGATGCCCGTAAATTTTATCAAAAAGTCAACCGTCTGACTCAAGGCTTTAAGCCTGGTGCATCAACCTGTAAGGACGAAAATGGTAATCTGGTTACAGATACGCAGAATGTACTGAAAGTATGGAAGGAGCATTTCTCCAAACTGCTATCTGGCGATGATAACATCAACTCTGCCATTGAAGAAATGCCCTCTGTATCCCCAATCGAAAATGATGATGTTGAAATTCCACCACCTAGCCATAACGAAGTGCGTGTTGCTATACAGCGACTTAAGAACAACAAAGCGGCAGGCGCAGATGGCCTGCCTGCTGAATTGTTCAAGGCCGGCGGCGATATGCTGATAAGGTGCATGCATCAGCTTATCTGCAGAATATGGTTAGATGAAAGTATGCCCAGCGATTGGAATCTCAGTACCCTTTGTCCTGTCTTGAAAAAAGGTGACCCGACGATTTGCGCCAACTATCGCGGGATTAGCCTAATACCTGTCGCGTACAAGGTTCTTTCAACTGTACTGTGTGAAAGGTTGAAGCCACATGCCAACTCACTGATTGGACCTTATCAGTGCGGCTTTCGACCTGGTCGCTCCACCATTGATCAGATATTCACACTGCGACAAATCCTGGAAAAAGCCCACGAACATAACATCGACACTCATCACCTTTTTGTCGATTATAAAGCAGCTTTCGATAGCCCCATTAGGGATCACGTTTACGCCGCAATGTCTGAGCTCGGTATCCCTCCAAAATTAATTCGACTTTGCAGAATGACGCTGAGTAATACCCGTAGCTCCGTCAAGGTAGGATCGAGTCTCTCTGAACCTTTTGATACCGTGCGAGGCTTCAGACAAGGTGATCCCTTATCATGTGACCTCTTCAATTTCGTCATGGAAGTGATCATGCGCAGGGCAGGTGTTCATCGTAATGGAACAATATTCTACAAATGTGTCCAGCTCCTTGCTTACGCCGACGACATTGACATCATTGGGCGTAGCAAGCGTGATGTTACAGCTGCTTTTGCTGCTATCGAAAAGGAATCTGCAAGAATGGGTTTAGCGGTGAATGAGGGAAAAACGAAGTATATGTCGGCTACTGGTAGAAATGTGCGTCGCTCGGACGCCGGGCTAGTGGCTGGCGACTATACTTTCGATTCTGTCAAGGATTTCATCTACCTTGGCACCGCCGTAACGAATACAAATGATGTCAGTCTGGAGATCAGACGAAGAATCACCATTGCTAATAGGTGCTACTATGGGCTCAGTAGGCAATTGGGATGTAGAGCTCTCTCTCGACAAACAAAACTTACGCTCTATAGGTCGCTCATCCTCCCTGTGCTTCTGTATGGCGCAGAAGCATGGACGTTATCACAGAATGATGAAGCAGCACTGGGAGTGTTCGAGAGAAAAGTTCTTCGTAAGATCTTTGGTCCTCTACGAGTTGGCGACGACTACCGCATTAGAATGAACCACGAACTGTACGAGATTTATCAAGACATTGATATAATTCAGCGCATTAACATCCAGCGGCTTCGCTGGCTTGGTCATGTCGTGAGAATGGATGAAGACGCTCCGGCGAAAAGGTGTTTGAAGCAGTAGTTGGCGGAAGAAGACGTAGAGGTAGACCGTGTCTCCGGTGGAGTGATCAAGTTGAGGGAGCACTAATTGGACTTGATATACAAGACTGGAGAAGGCGTGCACGCAGCAAAGGCGCCTGGGGAGACATGCTGCGTCAGGCCGAAACTCGGTAACGGGTTGTTATGGCCACATAAGTAAGTAAGTAATGAACTGTCTGACAAGGTATGTCTATGGACTCAGGCGTTTTGATCATTTACAGGCTACAGGAATAATATCCTGGAATTTAATATTGAATAATATATTAATAAATATGTTTGCATATTTTTGTTTAAAATTGCTACCAACCAAGTCCCTAGGCACCTTTTCAGTAATCTATATAAATTGCATTCAAACAGATCTATTCAATATTTAATCCCAAGGTTCAACCACTTTTCTGCGACTAGTTTCTTTTTCATAAATGCGGTAAGATTCTGAAACTCGTTATCCAGCGATACCAGAGACGCAAACAACTTAGTGTGCTTCAAAAAGTTAGTTTCTGAGGAACTGTCTTAGCTTATTATTACAATCTTATATTAATTAATATTATTTTATTCTTATTTCTTATGTTGATTAATTTGCTGCTTGTCATAAATATTATTTTTGGCTTTTTATTATATTCTTTTTTTTGTTACTGTTCTTTTTGTCTTTTATTTTGATTTAATTTATAATTGCTTTCTTTTTATCTTTTATAATTTTCATTGTTATTAAGATTATATTCTAATTTATTAATTAAGTTAATTTTGAAGCAATAAAATAAATAATATTTTCAATTTTATTTGTTAGTTTGTAAGTTAGCATGTAAGAGAGTGCATTGAAAATGTGTCCTTCAAAACACTTCATTAAATAAATAAATAAATAAACCACTGCAGTACTTCCGTATTTCTCTTAATTTTAAGTACATTTTTAAAGTATAAACTCATTAAATTTTATACAATTACGCATAATGCAATGATGGATTCCTGTGAAAAAATTAAAATAAAGACATAAAACTATATACTCTCTTATACTCATCATTAGGTGCTTTCGGTGGGTCAAACTACACCAAAGTTTTACACCAAATCTGCTTTCGCCATATATATGTTATATTATTGCAATGGTGGTTATACGTTGTTAAAGCAACGTAGCTGGTTATAGGCTATGTGTATCTGGGCTAATAGCATCAGTTGGTAGATTGGGAATCTTGATGTGGGCTAGTTTTTGTTGAATAAATTAAGGTTCGTGAAATAAGGCTGACAATGGTTTAAAGCTTATGTTATTGCTGGCAATTTAATTTATCCTACAGATGAATTAAATTTTGTGATTGATGCCTGCATTGAAGTAACCATTTTTTGACGATCTTGAATTGTAATTTGTTAATTTTTTATAATGCATTCAGGTCGTAATTTAATCAAGCCACTAACCACTTAAGTTAATTGAAATGCTTTTTCGTTGCGTACATCCATTGGTTTGGATGATTTAACTGATACCATATAGTTATGTCTGTGATCGCATATGGGGTCAGCTTGATTATGGAATAATAAATTTCACAATTATTGACGTTTGATGATTCATGAAACGTTGCTTGTATGTTAGGATAATGTAACTCTTTAGAGCTTAGTGCTGCTACAATTGGTACGAGGTATCATAGCTGGAGTCCTGCATCCGTAAGAGGTAGGTCGATGCAAAAAAATACGTGGACCTTAGCCAGGATTTCGTTGACTGTATACTTCGAGTAAGTTATTGCGGTGGATAAGTAACTGCAGGTGTGATAAAAGACGTGTCCTAATCATCATTGTTTCCTCACTAAGCTGTTGTGGAGTCAGCAGAAGAAGATTTATTTTATAGTGATAATTGTCGATTTGTATGTCCATAATTGATGAGTGAACCCGTTTCAGGTTAGATACCTTCATAAACATTTGCGACAGTAGCATAGGTATGTTTTGTGTTACGTGGATGTTGTTTATTGACTCATATGCATATAATAATTTTTTGTTGCGCTTTTTGATTGGTTGTCGTTCCTTTTAAGACTACTTATTGTAATTGATGTTTGTGCTGCGAAGTTTGAATCGCGAACGCCAAACAATGAATTGGTAAAATTGCTGACAATTTTTTTGCGATTTTTTTTAAACAGAGAAAAGATTAAGTTCCATTTTCAGTTCCACCGTTACCCGGTTAAAGTAGTTGAGAAAGACATTGCATGCAGTGTTATCCAAATTTTGCAATGTTTTTGTTCCATCAGTTAATGTGCTAATTTGTCGTTGATATGAGGAAAGGTCAAAATATACAATCATTTTGCAATCGGCAGTCATGAGTTTTATTTGTTCAAAATAAATGCCATATAGCATACTATATAGCATTTATACTATATAGCTACTGACAAAATAAGTAAAGTCACAGTGGTAAGCAGTAACCCTGGGTTCAGACATGACCGTTTTTTGGAGTTGTTCAGTTGACTAATGATTCAGATTTTCTGATGCGACATAATGTTTACAAGCAGCGACCCTGGAGCTAGAATTGAAGTTTCTTGAGTTTGTTCTGATTTGTTTTTCTCTTCACTTAATTTTCCAAGAGCTGAATCTTCTAGGTTATTATCATCTGGACCTTCAGTAAATAATGGGGCTAATCTATGCACCGGTTTTTTAAATACTCCCTTCGTTGTTTGGATGTCACAAACTCTCTCCCAACCATTTTTTCCTTTATAAACATTTATGATACGTCCTAAAGGTCTTTGCAGAACTAGTAGATTGTCTTCTTTGAGAATTACCATCGTATTAATTTGTATGTTGCTGATTAGACCCTTCCACTTGTGGCGCTATTGTAATTCACTTAGATACTCCTTAGTCCAGCGTTGCCAAAAACTGTGTTTTAGCTCTGATACCAGTTGCCAGCCTTTAGTAATCTTCCTTTTGGGTCATTTGTATGCACATTGACACTTGAAGTGATTTCTTCACCTATTGAAAAGTGACCTGGGGTGATTGCGTTAAAATCGTTCGTATCTGAGGTCGCGAGTTCAACGCTGCTTTAATTTTTATCACAACAATTTCAAGTTTTTAGTGATGCTGTAGAAACATTTTTTATTAGCAAATATAGGGCAGATTTTACTGTTGTCTCCCATAATCCGTCGAAATGTGGTGATCTTGGTGGAATAAAATGAAATTCTAGTGATGCATATTCCTGTAAGCGATTCCCTTGCTCGTTGAATGTAGATAACTTCATTGAGTTCCTGCCACTGGTTCTTCAGTCCAACGAAGTTGGTCACAGTACAAGATTTTGCAGTATCTTCAGAAGCTGGCCACAGCGGTCTTGGCTGATATAGAAACAGTGGACCGTATAACCACAAGTAGTACGATGAAAATTCCCGGGGTTTTAACCGTCTTGAGAGGATATCTGCTGGATTTTAATTTGATGCGACGTGTCGCTATTGGTTTGGAATAGTCAAACGAAGGATTTTCACCAAAATAAGCAATTAGCAAAAAGTCAAGCAATTTCAAACCGCGATATTTTCATGATATTTTATTTTTAGTGCGTTGTCAACGTCATTTTTAATTAGCACAAGTTTAGTTATTATATAAAATACTGTATATCAATAACATATTCAATCAATAAAAACAAATATATTATTAAATACTTACCAACGTCAGTGCGTTTGTTTACAGCGCAGCTGTTGTTTGTTTACATTTTATATTTAAAATATATGACATATACTTCAAATTTTAGTCTTTCCCTTGTGGGACATTTATTTTTAAGGCTTGTATTGGACATATTTGGTCTAAAATGAGCCGATTTATTGTAAGTGGGTTCATTTATATGAAAGATCTTTGTATGGTAAATCATCCTCATTAGTGATTATTGTAATCGGTTATGTAAATACCGAAACTATTTTATTGACAAATAATTCTATTCTATTCGTTACAATTACTTCATTATTCATTTATTTATATTATTTTACGCGCAACAAGCGTGATTCACATTTGTGTGTCATTTCCATTCTTTCTGTCTCCCCTGCTTCGTATCAGCTGTCATTTACCTTTCATGCTGCCTTGCAGGGCTGCATTCAGCTTAATATTACTCAGAGTTGCTTTTTTACTGTTACATTCCGCCCTCCCGTGAATTTTCGCAAGATTCACTAATCTGACAAGCGGCTAGCTTGGTGGCTAGACGAGTTAGGATACCATTCTTGGTCTGTACGCGGGCTGATCTAACCTGACCGGTCTTGGACGGAAACACTTCAACAATTCGACCCTTGAGCCATTAACCTCTTGGTAGCAGATTGTCACAAACGATCATAAAATCTCCAACCCTAAGGGGCACCACCTCCTTACACCATTTAGGGCGTCGAAAAAGTTGAGACAAGAACTCCGTAGTCCACTGTTTCCACAAACGGCTGTTTATATCTTAGAGGATATGCCACATCATTATAGCGTGTCTGTGTACTATTGGCACAGCCTAACAAGAAATGATTTGGTGTGACTGGTTCCTGCTCGCTGTGCGTCAAAGGATTGTCTGTAAGCGGTCGGCTGTTAATGATGTTCTCAGCTTCAATTAGTGCTGCCCTTAACGTTTCCACCGTCAGTGTTTCTTCTCTGATTGACTTGAATAATAGACGTTTGATCATTCTTATAAGGCACTCCCAGCAACCACCTGCACTGGGATTCTGCGGACAATTGAATATCCATTCAATTCCAAGTTGAGTGGCTTCCTCACGTATATCATTAACATTCAGAAACTTTTTATCAGCACATAATTCTCTTTGTGCCCCAATAAAGTTGGTGCCATTGTCACTACGCATTCTGACTGGCGTACCACGGTTAATAAAATTAACATACTAGGAATGCATCTGCTGATAAGCTATCGACGATGTCTATATGTACAACACGTACTGTTTAGTATGTGAATATGACAGCCCAGCGCTTCTTACGGCGACGGCCAATACTAAAATGTAATGGTCCATACAGGTCAACACCTGTGTATGAGAACGGTCGTGCATACGGCGTTATACGGTCGACTGCGAGCTGACCCATTAAGAGTGGCGCTGGCTTGGCGGCTTCAAGGCAGCATTCCACACAATTGCTTTGGACTGATTTCAAAAGTGGCTTGGCACCAATTATCCAGAACTTTTGGCGTATGGCGTTGATAATTGTAGCTTGATTTTGATGTTTGTAGGCAATATGATAGTGTTTCATTATTAGTTCGGAGACGACATGGAGTTTTAACAATATAATAGGGCGTCGAGCTTCAAGAGGCAGATATATGGCTTCGTCCAGGCGACCACTGGCACGAATAATTTCTTCGTTGTCTACGTATGGCGTTAATTTGTATAGTTTACATTTTTTGTTAAGAGGTTTTTGAAGCTTAAGTAGACTCTTTTCCTCCGAAAAACAGTTGCATTATAAATTTTTCGGCTTCATTGATTTCAATTGGTAATAACGGTGGCAACGACTGCAAATTATTACACTCTTTTATAAATAGTGGATCTCGTTTTCTACGGAATATTTGAACAGCTCTTAGGAACCAGGCAACAGAACGTTTAAGTCTAAAAAATGAACTGAAACGGTTAAATTCTATCAATGTTTCACTGGCCTGGCATTGTAGTAATATCGGTGTCGTAATCTCTTCTTCTAGCGTGTCAGTATAAAACGAAAATATAGCAATTGGCCAGCTATTTTATTCTTGACGTAAAAGGGTTGGCCCTCTTAACCAAATGCTGCCATTGTTTATTTCAGGCACCTCTTTGGCTCTTGTTGCATGGTCAGAAGGGTTCATCTTATTTGGCACCCATCTCCATTGGTCTTCTTTCGTTGAGATCAATATTTCAGCTATACGATGTCCAACAAATGGTTTGAATCGGCGATTTCTTGAATTTACCCAACAAAGAACGGTTTTGGAATCAGTTCAAAATACTATACGGCTTATGTTTATGTCATGTCTGTCCACTACCAGCTTTGATAATCGAGTAGCCAAGACTGCAGCCTGCAGTTCCAACCTTGGCATGGATAGAAGTTTCTTAGGCGCTGTGCGAGTCTTACCACAGACAAAAACTACATCGACTGCATATTGATGTTTAATTCGCAGATACACTGCTGCAGCAAATGCAACTTGACTAGCATCCATAAATATATGGATTTGGACCTCTTTGGCAATGTTGAGATGCGGCGAGTAGCATCTTGGTACAAAGAAATTGTCTATTCTGGCAAATTCGTCCCACCACCGAAACCATTTTTGAGATAACGTAGGTGGTAACAAGTCGTCCCAATTTAATTTGGTTTTCCAGGTTTCTTGCAATAATACTTTGGCAATAAGTAAAAAATTCGCTAAGATGTCGTATGGATCAAATATAGCCATCACAATTCCTAAAAGTTTTCGATTTGTTGGAACCCTTTTACCCTCGATAACTTCTTTAGCTATGCGGTGAAATTTTGTTAAGAATTGAAACGAATCATTTGTTACGTTCCAATACATTCCCAAGATTTTCTCAATTTGGCTCTGCCGATTCAAACAGATGGCCTCTGCACTTTCACCTGCATTCATGACAATCTGTAAATTTAACGAATTTGATGAAAAATTACGAAGTTCAAAGCCGGAGTTTGCATTAATTTGCACCACTTGCTGACAAATTAGTAGAGCGTGCTCTTCTGTATCGAAACTGGCAACGTAATCGTCTACGTAAAAGTTCTCATTGATGGCAGATACAGCTTCCGGATATTGGCTGCGATAATTTTCGGCATTATGATTCTTAGCAAATTCAGCGCAACAGGGCGAACATACTGCTCCGAAGATCATAGACGTCATGACATATTGTTTGATCGGTGACATTTCGCAACCGCTTCTCCATAAGAATCTTTGGGCATTCTGGTCGGCTGGTCGTATTTTAACCTGAGAAAACATCTCTTTTATGTCTGCAACAACAGCAATACGACCCTGACGTAGTTTAAAAAGTGTTCCTATTAATGGTTTAGCCTTTTCTGGTCCCTTCAACAATGCTGAGTTGTGAGATTGTTTATCAACAGTGGCGGCGGCATCGCAAACAATACTCAGTTTGTCGGGCTTATGCGGGTTCTGCACAGAAAAATGCGGCAAATACCACAACGGCTTTGTGATGTCTTCAATTTCATCTTGTGTGAGTTTCCTGGCGTAACCTTTGGCGATGTATTTGTTAATTTCGGTCTTATATCGTTCTGCGAATTTGACATTATTTCTCATTTTAGCTTTGATTCCCTGCAAACGTTTGACAGCCATGGCGTAGCTATCAGACAATATTGGTGAATTTTTTCTTCATAAAAGGCCAACCTCATAACGATCATTGATACGGCGTGTTGTATTAGACAAGATTTTACGAGCTCTCAAATCATCGACTGACTCCAGCGGCCGTGTTGGATTTTCAATTCCAAAATTTTCACAATTAAAATATTTGGCAACAATACGATCAAGACATTTAAATGATGGTTCTGCTCGGGTAAATACCATTAGCGAATGGACGGTGATACTTGAACCGGTGGGACCATATGCCACCCATTCAAATTTAGTTCGAATAGCCACTGGATTAGATGCACCGGCGGTCACTGATGCAGAAGATGCATTTATGTTGGCACAATTTAAGCCCAGCAGCATTAAAGGGCGAACATCGTCATAGTCTTCAATCGGCAAACAATCAAGGTGCCCATAATCTGATTTTTTAAACGATTGTGTTGGCAGTCTTAGATTGGAAATTACATAAACGTTTTTAATCTCATATTGTTCGCCAGCTTCACCCTTTATGTTGACATTTACCACTGTTGAGTTCTTCTCTTCATCTCTTCATCATTCCACTGCATCGTTAAGTGTTGTTTCTTGCCTTTAAGGCCTAACTGACTTGCAATTTTGGCATCTAATATAGTGATTGACGACCCTTCATCCACAAGTGCGAAAATCTTCAGTTCTCCCTTTGGACCCATAATTTTTATCGGAACCAATTTAAAAAGAAAACCGGAACATGGCTTGGCACAACTCAAAACCTGTTGAACTGATCCAGACGTAGGCGGCACTTGTTGGGACTCATGTAGTAATTTATTATGATTTTTACGGCAACCGTTTATACCGCAGGATCTTTTCATTCGGCACTGTATGACATTGTGTCCTTTCCTCAAACATGAAAAACACAAACGAAGCTGCTTCACCTTTACCCAACGCTGCTGAACATTTTTACTCAAAAACGCTTCATATGTAACTATCAGATGTTGGCCTGCACATTCAAAACACTTAACTTCTAGGTGATTTTCTTGTTCCATCTCATGGTTTTGTGCATACATAACTCGGCGCGTATAATTTTGAGTAGCTGGCATTGTAATTTTAGGCTTTTCGGTTTTTGATTGACACAATGGCTGTGCCAAAAGGCAAATTATTTTCGCCATCTTACTCAACCAAACACTAAATTGTTTTATTGTGGGATATTCCTTCAGAGTTACAGCGTGACGCGCCCACTCGA